GCCAAGTAGGATTGCAACTTGCAAGATTTTAACAAATAAATTAAAAGCTTACAATCTAAAAAAAAATGTTATAGTTTTGGCAATAGTTTGACTTCTAGACTTTTATAATTATTTTAAATATTATTACTCCGTATTAGATTATATTTTGAAGACAAGTTGAAATTTCAAGAATACAAAAAAAAAAAAAAAAAAAAAAAAGAAGATAGTATTTAAATTACAAATGTAATACTCCTTGCAAATTATGTTTTATGTGGGCCCGTCATGTGAGAGAAAATGGAAAACAAGAGAGGGATTTCCGGGCGTGGAGCGCTCTCAGTAGGCGCGTTTTTATATACTTTTTAATTTGTTGTCGATCTTCTTTTTTACTCTTTTCATTTTTTCTCTTTTTTCTTGTCCTCCTCTCTCTTTCCTAATGGCACTTCAAAAGCCATGAAAGATTAAGAAATGATGAGGATGTTCTAATGGGAGTTGTATATTAGGAAAATACTACATGTATGTTCACTGGAAAATATTTGAAGGGAAATGGAATTGAAATTCCATGGAAAATAAATTCCAAGAAAACAGATTCCATTGTTTGGTTGTTGGAAAAGAAATTACTGGGAATATGAATTCCATTGTTTGGTTGAGTTTGGAAGGGTAAGGAATAATGAGTATAATGACAAATATAACCCTACACAATAATAATAATAATAATATAATAATAAGAGTAATTAATAAAGAATGATGAGGGTAAAATTGTCATATTAATTTTCCATGGAAAAGGTTTTCCATGGAAAACAAAATACCTAGCATAAGCTAGGAATTTGTTTTCCTTGTTCTTAAGGAAAACTTTTTCCAATGAAAAAAGTTTTCCATCCAACCAAACAACATAAAACATCATTTTCCTTCACTTTTAGGAAAACATTTTCCATGGAAAATGTTTTCCATCCAACCAAACACCCCCTTACAATATATTGATGTAGACACTTTTACTAGGACCCACGTGAAGAAAATGACCTATCAGGACTCGTCACATCAAAAAAGTAAATTTAAGAGAGTAAGATTTTGGAGTACGTATCTTACAACTCCGTATATTATATGCAAGTGACTCTCATGCACTAATTATAAGTGATTTGATAGGTTGTATATTGAAATAATTTTGACGTTTCTATATAAATACATTTTTACTTTTTATTTTGTTACATATTCTTTATTTGCCATTTGCCATAATTACATTAAGGATGTATTAACAGCACATTATTATAAAGTTTGTAAACAACAGTCTTACGAAAATAAGAGTTAAGAGTACAAGAGAGCAAGAAGCGAAGAAGCCTTTGACTCCTGTCTACTAACCCATTGAGTCACCGTAATTTATATCCTCCCATATGCTCTGTCGGGTCGGAGTGTGGGGAGCCCTTAGAGTTGGAGATTCATCATTTTGGGATAAGAAGAAGCCTTTGACTTTGAATGGTGAGAAATGGACATCATCACTGCTGACATCATCATCTCCTTGGCGTGCCGTGCACTCTCCTCATGAGAGCGTGACTTAGTGGTTACACCCCCAAAGGGTAAAATATCAGGGACGGGTTGAAACAGCCAAGAATGTTCTGCGGGGATCGAAAGTCGAAACCTGTGGTCGGCGACTAGAATCCACCCGTCAGTGCCTCCGTCAAATTCAACCCTGGAGACTCGAGTTTCTTTAACCCCGTGCGTGTGTCGTCGTTATATTTAACGCCGCGGATTTTCCGTACAAAAACCCCTATATATACTCAAACGAAACTCTTCATCCCTGTCATTTGTTATCCAGAAATTCCGCTCACTTTCGTTCTTCAACAACGTTAAATCTCCTTCCTATACAAACCATACCCATATAATTATATACGTACAAGAAAATCTTGGAATCCCAGACTTGAATTTCATTCTATTTTCTTCTGCAAATAGTACCAGGTAAGCACTTCTTCACTTTTTACTGTCTTTAAGATTTTTATTTCCTGATTATTTGTCCTATTTCGGAAAAGAAACCTTGAAGGGTAAAGGGGTTGTTGTTTTTTCCTGTTTCAAATTGGTTAGAGTTTGTGGGGATTGGTCTAGGAGTTTGAATTTGGCATTCTCCTTAGTTAAATAAGCATTTTAGGAATTTTTTAATAATAAATTTAATAGCTTTTTCATTTGTAGGATTTTACTTCATTTATTTCTGAATTGGGTTTGTTGATATGAAAAAGACTAGCACATAGCAGTTCCTATATTGGTTTGTTCTTTGATCTAATATGCAAAAGAAGCCTCTGGGTTGTGCCAAAATCTGAACTTTAACACCAGAGATTTCTCAAAATATTTCTTTTCAACTTGAGCTGTCATGTTTCCTGTACATAGTATATTGAATCGCCTAGATTGGAGGAGTGGTTTCTGTCTTTTATATGGTTAAGAATAGTATGCAACAGGGGTAACCCCGCCAAGTTGGATGTGGGCTAGTTAGACTGTTAACTTGATAACGATAATGTTATAAGTTCATAGCTGATTATGTTGGTGATTTGATAACCATAAGGTTACAAGTTCAGCTAAACTGGTCAGACTGTTGGTTTGTTTGATGCCTAGGGAGTTGTTGAAAATTGTTCATGATGATTATTCAAATGAAGGCTGTAAAACTGAATTTATTTTATTCATTGGTTCTTGTAGGGTTGGGTGAACCAACAGAGACTTTTGACAGTTTTGATAAGCTCATGTTGAGAATAGTTTGTGGTTGGAGCAGCTGATGTTATCCATATAGCATGGACTCACATCAGTTTATTGCATACGGAGCGGATTTATCATTCTCGTCTTTCCCCCAAACTTCATCATCAGTACCTGCAACGCTATTCGATTCCTTGAAATTTGACTCGAGAAGCTCTCCTAATTCGCCGTTCAGTAATTGTTTTGATCCCCAGACCCCGTTAAGTGACAGCCAGGAGCTCTACAGCTCAACAGATAATCTTTCTGGAGCCAGTCCCTCCAGTAATTCTTCGCTGGATTATAACAGTTATCCCCAACGGTGCAGTCCCGCCTCGGACTGCCTCCCCGAAAGCTTGGTTCTTCCTTCGGGTGAATACACTTTTCTTCGGAATGCAAATCACAATCAGAAAATGAAGCATGTTTTGTGGCAGTTGGAGAGCGCTTTGATGGGGCCGGATGGGGTAGGAGCCACAAATTCAGAGGGGGAAAATACACAAAAACAAACGTCGAGTCAGGGGTCTATTAGGTCTTGGAGCCAGGAAGCCCAGGGTTCTGGCCGATATGAATCTCAGCAATTCCATCAGTCTTCGTTTGGGAAATCGGGTGAAGGGATTCATAGCGAGAAACGCCACAAAATAATGCTGGATTTTCCATCTCAGGGCGTTCCTCCTGTTAATATCAAACAGCTGCTTATCGAATGTGCGAGGGCTCTTGATGAAAACAAAATGCTCGAGTTTGAGAGACTGATCGAGCAAGCACGGTGTGCTGTGTCTATTTCAGGGGATCCTATTCAGCGCCTTGGAGCGTACATGATTGAAGGCCTAGTTGCGAGGAAAGAAGCATCGGGTACAAACATTTATCGGACATTGAAATGTAAGGAGCCAGCAGGCAACGACTTGCTCTCCTACATGCACATCTTGTATGAGATATGTCCGTATCTTAAGTTCGGTTACATGGCTGCTAATGGCGCCATAGCAGAATCGTGCAGAAACGAAGATCGCATTCACATTATAGACTTCCAAATTTGCCAGGGGACTCAATGGATGACGCTTCTACAAGCGCTCGCCGCAAGACCTGGCGGGGCCCCCTACGTGCGCATCACCGGGATTGACGACCCGCTTTCTAGACATGCTCGGGGCGACGGTTTGGTTGCGGTGGGGAAACGCCTTGCAGCTATATCCGAGAAATTCAATATTCCCGTTGAGTTCAACCCGGTGCCGGTTTTTGCCCCACAAGTCACCCGGGAAATGCTCGATATAAGGCCCGGCGAGGCGCTGGCGGTGAACTTCCCGTTACAGCTCCACCACACCCCGGACGAGAGCGTTGACGTGAGCAATCCTCGAGACGGACTTCTAAGGATGGTGAAGTCGCTCTCTCCCAAGGTGGTCACGTTGGTGGAGCAAGAATCGAACACGAACACCGCCCCCTTCTTCAGCAGGTTCATCGAAGCTCTGGAATACTACTCAGCCATGTTCGAGTCACTGGACGTGGTCCTACCGAGGGACAGGAAGGAGCGCATCAACGTCGAGCAGCACTGCCTGGCCCGAGACATAGTGAACGTGATAGCTTGCGAGGGCAAGGAGAGGGTGGAGCGCCACGAGCTGTTAGGGAAGTGGAAATCGAGGTTCACCATGGCAGGATTTCAACAGTATCCCCTAAGCTCTTACGTCAATTCGGTAATCAAGGGCCTGTTAAAGTGTTACTCTGAGCATTACACTCTTGTGGAGAAAGATGGGGCTATGCTATTGGGATGGAAGGATAGAAACCTCATCTCTGCTTCTGCTTGGCACTGAAACTAAGTCATACAAAAAACATATACTCAGAACTAGAAAGAACCTATTTTGTTTTGTCCTGGGATGAACACAGACACAAAGATTTCTTGTTGCAAACATGCACTTAGAAAATTTATGATGTTGGTAATTGAAATACATTTCATTTGTACCTGTAAATTGCAAGAATTAATCATTTATAATACATGGTAATCTTGGTATAGATTTGTTCAGACATGAATTACTCTGTTTTTTTAGTACTACTGACTCTGCTACAATGCAGTATCTGTTCATAACTACTTTCTTAGGCAGTATCTGTTCTGGGTAGAGTGAGCTGACCGGCCTTGTAGCGAGCCCTCGGCGATTGAGAGGAACCCTAGCAGTAGAAAGAATTCCTAATTACTAACCGTGAATAGGGATCTCTTATTAATCGACCGAAGGGACTTCTACAGGGGGCAGTATTTGCACAAAGATTTACTCTAACACTACCAATTCATGTATTCACCAATTCAATTTACAATTGCAAAAACAAGAAACACCAAGAAATAATGTAATAGTATAATCGATTCATTATACTAGATAGGGATATGATGTGTACATACAATTTATATAAATATACACAATTTTTCTTGTTTGTTCGTCCGTTAAGGTTGCCAACGGACAAGAAAACACCAAATACATACATATTTATATAATGTTAACTCCAAGGAGAAGAGTCAAAACATGAAGGGTGTTGGAGACAACGTTGGCACCGTCGAAGAAGAATAGCCTGCCGATCGCCTGAAAAAATTACAATAAAATAAAGATAAAAGGGAATCAAAGGTAAAAAGAAAGAAACAGATTCGTTAGTTAATTAGATCAATCCGAAAATGGAACAATTTCAAGCTCAAAGAAGTATTCATCATCAAGATTCGACAACACCCACCAACTTACTACTTGTACTTTCTCTCTTATGTTCTGATAGGTACACACATATATATACAATAAATTATACTATTTATATTTCTCCACCTTCCCAATTTTGACTGTAGCAAACTATACGGATAAATATGACTCGATTTATGTATAAACATTGCGTTTCAATTAATCAAAGTAAAATTATTATTATATGTGGTATAAGAATTGATTGATTTCTAATTCAGATGCAATAATCTATGAGCGAATAAAGAAGAGTGGCATTGGTGGGTAGAGACATAATTGTGGGGATCATTTCATTGATGAATCTTCTCAACTACTCCTTTACAGCTATGAATGATATCTAAGAATTTGATAAGGTGATCCATGTGAACATCATTATCAAGTCATCGAAAAAATCTATTGACTCATAATAATTACATAATAAGAAAACGACTCATAATTACATAATATATTTATTAAAATTAATTTTTTGTACAAATTAGTTGGTATTAGATCACAATATAATCTTTAATATATAATAAGAACTTTGACCCGGTTTGGTAAATGGCTTTTAGCTGATAACTGTTAGTTGTTGGCTGATTGAGTTAATTAGAGAGTATAATTAGTTGATAATATTAGCTAATTGTGGAAATGTGTTTGGTAAATTAGCTGCTAGCTGATAGCTGTTTGATATAATTTATTTTCTCAAAAAGCTAATTGAAAAATTACTTTTGAGTATTTTTAAACAAGTCAAACAACTAATAGTAATCAAATAAGCCAAAATTGACCTATAAACTATACCAAAATAGGGCGATTATGTTATTGAGGAATAGAAATCCTCCTAAAAAGATTTGCCCATTATTGCTCTTTAATTTGTAGTTAGATTTAGTGGGTACTATACATCCAAGATTTTAGTTTTATTATTATTATTATTATTATTTTAAAATATTTAGCATTGGTTTAAAATTTATTTTTGTATAATTTAAGTGGAATAATATTTTAGTCTATCAGTTTATTAAAATATAATTAATTTGTAAGCTACATGAGTATTGAACAATTCAATGCAAAAATAGGTGATTTTATAAGTGGTGTATAGTTGCAATGGGCAACTAAAAACTGGGAGAAATGCTAATGAGTGATTGGGTAATGGTTAAGAATGTCGGCTTTGTTCTTTTCATTGGTCTGAACCACTTGTTACTTGAGTGATCCATCTTTATTTTCTCAAATATATAAATAAAAATCACTAAACAGACAAGGATGCCTTAAGACACTTAGCAAAACCGACAAAAATTATTAAGATGCATATATTATAAAAAATAAATAATATATGATATTTAGAGAAAAAATTTACCCATTTATCCTATATTACATGTTCAGTTTACTATTCTATCATTTTTTTTTTTTTGAGAAATTTATTGAGTATTACTAACTCTATTATAATGTAGTATTTGACCACTAGTGTTCAATATATTGAATCTGTAAAGTTGTAATGTAGCTTTTGAGTATATAAAACTTATTTACTAAATGTAAGATTAATTTTTATTAATTCAATCAGACTTAAGAAATAAAAATGAGAAATTAATATATTTTTTTTTGAGAGAGGAGAAATTAATATTTAATTCCATAATTATATTGTTTTTTTTTTTTAAAAAAAAAAAGACATTAAATAAAGAGTATTGCGAAATTAATTTACTTGTTAAAAAAAAAAAAAGAAGATGAATTAGAGAATATTATGTGCGTACCTGTTTTCATCGCGATATTGCGGTGGTCTCGACGCGGATGCCGCGGAAACGACCCTCCTGATTTTCCGGTTGGTTACGGCGACGCCATCGCTCTTCTCCGGCGGAGCAGTATCTTCGGAAATGGAGGAGAGCGAGGGTCTCCATTCCGCCACCGGACGACCGCGCCTCGTCATCACCACCACTCTCCCTTTCTTCCTCCTCCGAGTCTCGGGCGGCGGAACCAGGGATCGCGTCTCCTCCGCCGGCGCCTGCTGCCGGAATGTGGATGCGCCGCAGCACGTCACCAATTCCAATAGGAACTTCATGTTCAACGGCAAACGCATTCAGCAATAAAGCGACGATCGACGACGTCGACGGATCCACCGACGGCTAATTGATTTACGGGAACGAAAGCATGAGTCGAATTATGAGAATATATGATTGTGTATGTTGTTAGAGAGAGATCTCCATTGGAGGAGGAGGAGGAAGAAGAGCTGAGGTGAAGTGGCAGTGCCCCTCTGCGAGTGTCTATTGTCTCGTGAGCAAATGGGAGTTTTAATAGAGATCTCGATACTGAGGGCTCACTATCTTGTCATTATGTTGAACCGTTACGGACTGCCACTTCTTTTTTTGCTTTTATTACAAATTACCCCACAAATTAGACCTTTTCCTACTTTATATCATAGAAATAAATGGATCCCCTTATTTCCCCTAGTTAGTGGGTACAAAGTTCAAAAGTACAAAAAGTTTGTGGGGTTTGAACCAAAAAAAGTAAAGATTGGACCATAAAAACAAAAAGGATATGGTAAAAAGTACCAAGAGTCGGAAGAGACAGAGAGTTTGGATTTTGGAAGTCTACATAAGAAATGTATAAAATATAGGAGGTAGATGCAAAGTCGATGGAGAGAATTGAACCCAAGTCCGAAGTTGGAGGGGTGGGGCCACCTTACACCCTATGTGGTAGACTATGCGACGATGGATTGTGTGGCAGAGCATTGCCACGCACAAGGTGGCCTAAGTGCACCTCTCCCACGCACCTTTCACCTACCTGAGCGAGGTGATTTCGGTTGTCTTGTGAAAGTGTGTACTTGTGCATGGTCATTTATATGTGATAATTGCGGAGGGATCTCCCCTTTTTATATTGTTTTGGCCGGAAAAGTCAATCCCCATCTATAAATGGGAGGTTTATAGAAGCTTTTAGACATCATCATCTTCAGACCAACAAATCATTCTCTCCATCTCAAACATTCTTCCTTTTACTTCTAAGCATTGTAATAGCCTCGACGAGCTTATACTTTGCCTCCATATTTAATATGATTTATTATTAGACTAAAAATGCACTTGCGGCCCAATGTCTCATTTTATAACTTCCCACATTCATTATCTATTTTAACCGGCAATTTATATCCTACACCACGGCGCGCGTTGCACTATGCGCCCAGATGCAAAACAACGTCGTTTTAATTTTTTTTTTTTTGAAATTTCCCGCCCCAGTGAATGGCAATAGTTTTTTCTTTAAAAAAAAACTCTGCTGTTCAAGAATGTACATAATGTTATACTAGAATATACATAATTGTATACATGAATGTACATAATTATATAACAAAATATACATACTCTTTTTAAAAGATAATACACATAATCTAACATAATACATAATAAACATAAACTTTTAACATAATACACATCAACTATTAACATAATACACACAAATTTTCTGATTCGGATGTACATAATTGTATAAAAAGAATATACATAATTGTAAAAAAAATGTACATAACTGTATGAACCAATACACATAACTGTATGAACAAATACACATAACTGTGTGAACAAATACACATAATCCCAGCAACTTCCTACCGCGCCTCCCAAAACGACCCCAAAACGATGCCGTTTTGGGAGGCGCGACGCACAGTGCTATATGCGCCGTGGTGTAGGGTATAACGATTGATTTTACCCCTACATACCTAGCTCCATGATGTGGCTAGTTAAAAAAAATCATAAATTATACATCAATTATCAGTTAAAGAGTTTATTTTAGAACTTATAGATTATTTTAAATTATAAATAAGACATAAGTTATAATTTGTTTGATAAAAAATTATGAGTTTTAAAATAAGCTTTTATTTGAACTTATTTTTAAATGCAACATATCATAGTTTAAGGAGTTAAGGTATATTTTTTACTTTTAAAGTATTTATCATGAAATTTATAACTTGTTCGTTTTAAGTATTAAATAAAAACAAAAACAAAAAAAAAAAAAAAAAAGAACATCCATTATAAATTTAATGAACTCATGCTCATGACTTGAGTAGTTGAGCTCAATGAGCGTAGATGAGTAAGAAATCTATTATAATCGGCGCCTAGGGGCTAGACGTTGGCCGATCGCCTAGCGTATCACCATAATTGGTGGTCTAGGTGGCCGCTTAGGCACTGATCGCCTACACCTCCTAGGCACCGATTAACTAGGCCCGCCTAGGTACTGACTATACCGCCTAATCGGCCAATTAGTTATTGTTCATTTTTTTTTAAATAAGTTATTTCACTCAAAATGACATCGTTTTGAACAAAATAACCTTAAATTGTTCTTTTAGGTTAATATTTAATATTTTAGTATTAACTATTAAAGTATTAAATATTTTATAATTATCAAGTCTTAAAAAATTAAAAAATTTTAAACATATTTTTAAAAAATAAAAAATACACGAGCGCCTAGGCACCATTAATCCCCGCCTAGGCGCCTCTCAAACGCATGAGGAACGTCTAGCGATTTTTTCACTAACGAGTACTCTACAATAATTGGAAGAAAAGTTGAATGAGTTTAGAATTTTACATAATAATTGATCTAAAAGAGAAAATGACAAATCTTTTAAGTTGTGAATCAATTACTAAAAGTTTTATTACTCTTTCGGGCTAATTTTACTTTTTTCTATTTACTATTCATTATCAAATTAAATAAAACTTTTCTTATTTTCTTATTTTTTAGTATTTCTTTTATTTTTAAAATTGATTTATGTTTTTAATAGTACTTTTATTCTTTTAATATAATTTTTAAATATATAAATTTTGTATATTAATACTAAATTTAACATTTAAAAAAATTAAATTGTAAATAAATGATTGTACCCTTGGAATTGAGTTGGCTCTGATACTAAACTAAAATATGTGTTTCCTCTCCCATAAAGGTTGAATCACCAACCCAAACACCCCTGCCCGACATACTATTTGAGAGGATGTAAATCACGGTGACTCAATGACTCAGCAGCAGGCTGTCCACTTTGGGAATAATTCTCAAACTCCCACTGCCGAGGTTCGAATTGAACTTGGTCTCTTCTCCTAAATACTGCCTACTGAACCAGTAAGCTAAACCCGTACGAACATAAAACATGTATTTCATCTCAACTAAAAGCATATATAAGTTAATAGTTGGACTGCACATACATTTATGTTTATACATCATATATGTTTGACACTACTTGCATCAAATTTCCTTAGCCAGAGAATAAATTGAAGGAATTTTGCAAAAAGAGAAACAAACATGGGATTGGTGCATTTGTTGTGTCAGCATCCAAACAGGTCATCAATTGAATATGAAGATTTCGTAGAGCAAACGGAACACGAATGAATTAGTTCACAATTTGTTATTGTGTTAAGTAGTTTTCAGGGACAGGTAAATTACCTGTAGACGAAGGCATGTAAATGTTACATAGTAATCGACCAAGGTTGCTTTTATATATATATATATATATATATATATATATATATATATATATATATATATATATATATATATATATATATATATATATATATATATATATATATATATATATATATATTTGTGCCACCTCGGACGTGTGCATTAAATGGGAGCGGTGACGTGTGAGGGTTACCATGGATGAAGCTGTCACTGTTCATCAACCTTCAGACACCTCCATTACAAACAGACATTCAATAATGTGGACTGAAATATATATACAAGCAAAATCCGATCCACCAACCTAATATAAGCTCAGATATTATTATAGTATGTACCATCAATATGGAGTGTTGATTGAGCTAAGAACCAAGTCGTTTGCCTAAAGGACATTGGGTTCTCTAATGTGAGTAGACGTGTGGGTTGGACAGAGTTGACACGGGGACTCATCTCGCATAAATTTTTGACGTGTGGGTGAACATTATAGGTCTAGTTATTGTCGATTAACTCCTTCTCAATTGAGTCATTGCACAACATGTTTTCTCCTGGTTCTGATACCAATTGTAGAATTAAATGCTTACTACTACGTTAAAAACTATAGCTAGTAGCGAAAGCACAATTTTATTTTCTTATACTTATGTAGTAGTCAACGCCACGATCCGATAGTAGAATGCTGAACTCAACCCATCGAACTACCACCAACACCTTATCATCTAAAATTTTGTTTAAAGGTGTGTTAAAATAACACTTTTTAGAAAAATCTTATTTGTCCCACAAGAAGTGCATGTACAAGAGATGCAAATAGGCATATGCTTTGTTTGATAGAAACAAGTAAGACTTTCTTTAAAACTCTATTTGTCCCACAACAAATACACTAAGGATCCAAATAGGCCTATATCTACTATACTTTAATTTGTTTCATTTGATGAAAATAAATACATAAGACTTTATTTGATGGCGAATGCACATTTGATCGAGTCTTTGTATTCTTTTATGTAAAAAAGAATATTGCCAAGCACATTCAGATGGTACCCCTGTTGCTTTTCTTGAAGAAAAGTCAAATAATATATACTAACTTGTAATAAAGTGAATAATACTAAAAAAAAAAAAAAATACTTTGTTTGATGGTAAATGCGCACTTGAGTTTGTGTTGTTCAGTGGTCTAATAACATTTTTTTTTTAGTTTGATGACTTAATTGTAGTTTTGTGTGCAGTTGAGTGGCCTATTTGACCCTTATTCCATAAATTTTCTATAATCTAAAAACATAATAAGTGTGAATGAAAGTTATACCCCTGATATATATATGTTTTTTCCGTTAATTTTTTTTTTGTACATTATGCTATAAAGGTTGTACATTAAAATATTTTGGACAAACATACCCCTGCCGTTATAACTTCCATTATCTTTTCCACTATTGTTACCATGCAAATGCATCCACAATATATTTTCTTATCTTCTTCATTAATAATAATATACACACATTAAATATTTGAGTTATATGTTAATTATTACATAAATATAAATATCAAATTTATAAAAATGATTTACATTATTATTTAGAATACTTTAAATATCTAAAATTTAAATAAATTTAAAACTTTAATATAATGAATTAATATTGGGCACCTATTTTTTGCGCATCGTGCATAAAAATACTAGTAAGTATTATAATTTTTATCATAAGTAATAATCAATTATCCTATATTTGACCCGTTTCATGGATTAAGATTTGTGGGACCGTCTCCGACTACATTTTCTTTTAACTTAAATACATTTCATTTAGATAGATGCAAATGGAATCTACTATTTATAGTGTTTGTTACAAAAACTCATAAAAGAATACAACTATTATATTCATTCAAAACTTAAAATTTAAAA